TCTTAAGTGAACAAATCCGTGGTGTGAGGTAAGTCTTAAGTGAACAAATCCGTGGTGTGAGGTAAGTCTTAAGTGAACAAATCCGAGGAGTGAGGTAAGTCTTAAGTGAATAAATCCGTGGTGTGAGGTAAGTCTTAAGTGAACAAATCCGTGGTGTGCGGTAAGCCCCAAATGAACAGCCTTCGTCTGCTGGAGTTTGGGGTCACACAGCAGTAGCTGTAGATGGGAGGATTCTCTGTACGGACCAGCAGCTATTGCAGGATTTTGTTTTCTCATTCTCTGCATTTTGGGCCAGAAATTGTGAAATAAGAATAAAAACTATATATAGCGACCTTCTGTATACATGTATAGAAAGTAATCTTGTTCCTGTTCCCATAGCATATGGTCCAGCCTAAGAATCAGCAGACTGGGCTCAGCTTCTGTATGTGTGTGTGTCTGTGTGTGTGCGTGTGTGTGTGAATTAAGTTTGTATTACATTGCGGGGACCAAATGTCCCCCACAATGTGATAAAAACCTGTTATTCTGACATAGTGGGGACAATTGTTCAGGTCCCCACAAAGATTTTTGTTTGGATACTGATGGTTAAGGTTAGGGCTGGGTAGAAGTTAAGGTCGTCATGTGATTAGAGTTTTCCCCAACGAAATGAATGGAGAGTCCCCACAAAGATATAATTGTAAACCTGTGTGTGTGTGTGTGTGTGTGTGTGTGTGTGTGCTGTATAGTGGGAACCCCCAGCAGAGATTGGCCCTTGGCAGCAGGACACACAGCAGACCCAGTAGCACATGGAGCACAAACTGTACTCACAGCTCCCATCCCCAGGAACAGGAGACAGAACCTCTTGATGAGCTCAACTACTTTTGCCAAACAGTTACAGAATGTGCTACTGCGAAGGAGACGCCCGTTTTCTCCCGTCACTTTGCATTCGGCAGCTCTGACAGCTGCTGCTTGATGCTATGCAGGATGGGAGCACACGTGCAGGTTCTGCTGTTGTCATGTCGTGTTTGCAAGGTATTACATTTAATTTATCCTACAAACCCCACATGTCTACAAATGCCTTGCTGGTGCAGCCATGTTATTTGTCTTTCCAGTAAATCCAGTTTGAATTGAACTGAATTTAATTGAAACTGCTTGGCAAATGCTTGATTCATTTCCATGGTAACATTTGTTGGCTTCTTTGAGGTCAAAGAATTTGCCGTTTTTGGGCTGTGTGTGCATCTGGGCTTCGGGTATATTAGTGCTGGCATGCATACCTGTTTGTGTGTGGTTCCTTCACTGTGCAGCCCATATGCAGGCAGAAAACTGCCACAAGAAGGACGCCGCTGCGATCTGACGTTAGTGCCGGAAAGAGCAGGAACCTGAAAGCAATAAAATATAAACGTCCCGAGTTCCCTATAGATACATATCTTCCATCTGCCAAGTTTTTGTCCGTGCCTAATTGAACAGGACGGTGAAGTGGGATGTGAAAAGCAGTCAGAGGCTGACAGAAATCACATGCCACTGTTCTGAAAGGCAGAATAAGGGAAAAAAAC